ATCCACTCCTCCCCGACTAGAGATTACGCTTAGGCATCCCGGATGCCTAAGCGTAATCTCCACAGCCTAAACTTTCTTATCATAAAGATGGTGCCGGTAGAGGGGACGCACTTCCAACCACCACCATCATTATTATTTTCGAGCCAAGGTACGACGCGAGGGAACATACTGCTGGAAAGCAGCGTCGCAATCGGGATGCCGTGTAGACTGCTGCGACACATTTTAAGTGGGTTTTGGCGAATTGGAACCTCGATGGAAGACGAGTATTTCTCCGTACATTCAGATTGGTAGCAATGAATTTGCCCTTCTTCCCACGTTTAAATCAGCCTTCTCTGCCTTGCCTGCCTGCCTTTCTACACTAATGCATCGTAACTCGGACCGGATGTCGCCATCTGAACTATATTCTTTTTTTCCCATACCAATACTATCCACAAAACTGTTTCGTCCCTCGCTCAACAAGGAACTCTGATGACTCCTATAGATCTGGACTATATTTACCTATTTACATGTCTATACTGTACATTTTTGTGACTGACTTATTTCAACCTTGTGAAAGTTAAAACTTTACTATATTGCATGTTGGATGTAATGCTTATTTATATTAATAATTATTAAGTTAGTTGTACTTGTAGAATAGTTGCTTTATAGTTTTATTGCTTATTGTGTCATAGATTTCAAACCAGTTTATGTAAACTGATATCTATTAACATGTGAATAAAGGAAGAAATGAAATGAAATGCTTAACTTTTGTTATTTACGAATGTATCTAATTCAGAATCACCACTACATAGTGTCATATGTAACATGCAATCATAATTGTGCCGAACCCTTGTTTTAAACTTTTATAAGTTTTGAAAAATCTGTACCTTCATGGGACCAAAGTGGTCTGAATGAGGATAGAAATAAAGTCTTACTTTTAATTTTGTGCTTAATGAATGACTTGTGAAAATAGACTCAAATCAATAAACGCAGCTCACACCTCACCTAATAATCCTTATTTTTCCGTTGTTGGAAGTCGACGTACAGATTAGAATCCACCCATTCCTTTCAGAAGTGAAATTCTGAAAGGTATTTCTTAAGTCAACCTCTTTGTTTATAAATACAACGTTGAATATAAATATGTATTTAAGGTGCTAAATAATTCATTTGGTATGCCCGTTAATGCAAAAGGTAATCATAAATTATTCATAAGTGAAAGGCAAACATTCGATTCGACATTCGGGGTCAATAATATTCTTCTAGAAGGCAGTTTCAGTACTTGTTTATTTGCCGGAATTTCCATCTATCCCTGTTCGAAATTTTAAAATTTTGTCCCAATCTTGAAATGTATTCTTTTATTCGGTTGCTTTTATTGTTATTCGTCACGCTCTCGATTTTTTCAGACATTTCAGAATGCTCTAGCTTATCCAAGGGTCTATTTGAGGATGCCGATTTATTCTTTATATTTATGACAGATAATTTCCCGTTTATCGACGTGGACTCAGATTTCCCTTATTTTAATTTTCTCATGGTGGAGAATTCCAACACCCCACTGCGTCTACTTGTCATGGATACAGAATATAATTCCGAATATGACAACTTTAAAAATTCGTTTAAGTATCGCGATACGGAAAAGTGTACACGACCAAAAGTTGTTTTCTTACCGGCAACACCCAGCGGATTTGAGGAGTCGTTGGGTAAGTGGACATGTGAGTCCTTGCTAGTACTTGCAGATACGGATTTTCGACAAGATTACGTGTTTCTGCAATCCCACGATGTGGAATGTTTCGCACATTTACCCGGATTAATGGGCAGCGCGAAGTTTGTCACATTTGAGAAGAATGCGGCCTTACACTTGTCAATTCCTTGTTTGACGTGTAATCCGATCATACTTGTGAAATTGGAAAGTACCTCATTGCAAGGCATCTTGAAGGCTTGGGATGCCCAAAATAGCGACATGCACGGACAATCGGTCTCCGTACGGCAACAAAAGAGCGTATCGTGTGGCCTGTTATACAGCGGATTTAGAAATTTAGAGTATCCATTCTTCTGTTACACGGCAACAATTGCGGAAAAATATAATTTGAGCTTGGGAAATGGAAATTTGGGAGTTTACCATTCTCTAAGGAACAGGAATTTCGGCCTAACACTATACCAACGGACACACATTCCATTATATTACGTTTCACAATGGTACATTTACCGTGTGCAGATTGACAGATTTAATTTTGTAACGGTTACCAACCCAGCGATTTCTGAGAGCGGTATGGCAAGCTTCGCGACGCCGTTCGACAAGGAGACGTGGACGTGTCTGGCAGTAAGCGGCGTTTTAGTGGCGGCCTATTTAGCCTGGGTTGGAGCAAGGAAGAAAAAATCGTGTCTTGGCTACGTGAAGGCGATGAAGGATAAGGTAATCGCTGTAACATATATTCTTCTAGGGCAACCTGGGGGGAACTCTGGCAAAGTGGAGCTGGTCACCGTGACTCTCATTATATTTGGGAATATTTTCCTCATGGCGAATTTGTACCAGGGGTCGATCTATTCGTGCATGACGGTGCTCATCCCGCCCCAGACACCGAGCGGGTTGGATGAACTTCTTAGTTGGAAAATTCCCATAATTGCGATGGAAGTAGGGGTTCGTTGGATAGGTTGGCACTACTGGCACTACACATACCTCTCGGAATTCGCTATTAAGCCTCTAAGATCTAGTGGGGGTTGAAATTCAAAGTTTATTCAAACTTTGGATACGCTTGAAAAAAGAATTTTATTCTTTAGCAATACTTCGGTGTACGCAATGGTGCAAAAAACTCTGCTCGAAAACACTACCAGAAGGCATCCAATGATGTCTTTATTTGTTGCTAATTCCGGTATGGACAAATTCGTGACGGTGGTAAATCTACTGGGGAATCGACACGTTGTAAGAAATAAGGAAGAGATGCCGTTCAAGACGGTGCATTACGTTATTGGTGATCGAAACTTGCTTGTCCGCTACTTCTCAAGGGGATTGGGACAAATTGAGCAGGCTGGGTTAGGTAAAGTGTGGAAAAATGCGGAAGTGGTTAGTTCGTATTTAAAAGGAAAGGATGGGTTTGTACATCTGAATAAATATTCGGATGCGGTACGAAAACTGCTTTTAAATCCGAGGGAGCCCGTAACATTTCACGAGTCGGTCGCTGTCTCTATGGAACTAATTGTTCCGGCCTTCTCCCTATGTGCGGTTGTGATTGTATTTGGAGTTTTTGGGTTCTTGGTGGAGAAGAAGAAGATTGTGATAATTTTGGGAAAATATGTTGGCCGCTGTTTTACTCAAGGAGGGAGTTGTTTTGTTTGGAATAAGGTAAATAATTCATGCCAATTCGGGAATATTTGCAAGGAGACGAAAGTCGCGTTTTTACAAGTGAGAATTTAGTGGAGAAGATTGAAGATGCATAGTCGAAGAAAAGTTGTTATTATCACCGCTTACGCTTTCTAGTTTAATTACAGCTGAGGCTTTGGAATTCCTCGGCAAGATGTAGGTAGGTATTACAAAAATTTTATGTAATAGGAAAATATAAATACGTAGTTAACTAAATAGTAAAGAGGCTTCAGAAAATTATTGTCGCGCATTGTTGTTTAAGAATGAGCATATTTTAGAACTTACATTACGATATCTAATTTAGTTATATATTTGTTTAGATAAGTATTACGTTTAAATATATGGTTTCAATTTTATTTTTGTTTTATTCAACGAGTCAATTTATAACGGAATAATTGAAATGAAATGTAATTTCGTGGAAAAACTTTGAATGCCATTGAAGGTTGGTTTGAAGACGTCAGACTTCCAGTTGTATATGATTAGTGACTTCGACACGGTGCGAGTAACATCTCTACAATGACGTCATAAAACCTTTGTTGGCGAATATCTGTATTTGTGTATAGTATTGAATAAATGTAAACAGTATTAGTGAATTGAGCCCGTTTTGCATTTATGCTAAAGTACTTGAAGCATAGATATTTCAATTAAATATTTATTCAAGTGACAGAAATACATAATGTGTTATGATACACATTGTTTCCAGTACTAATAGTACCAGGGTTGCTGTAAAGCGGAGCCGTGACCTATAGCAACCCTGCACTAGCAAATACTGTATGTACTAGGTCACATTAACTACATAAATTTGAAACTTAGATAATAAATTACTTAGAGTGCACGTATTTAAATACAATCTAAAATGACGGCACTTTGGCATTTCAAAAATTAAGCAGAGAATGTACTTCGGTCTTTTTAGAATTAAGCCGAGACAGAGTCTAGGGCGATCTGGGACCATACAAATTTTCGTGACTAACCCATAATTTGTTACAGGTAAGTCATTTGGACAGTTTGTAAGTTTGAGACGATTACCAAAGCATTTAATTTTAAGAAAAGCGTATGCGATACAAATTTGAGTTGATTTTACTGTAGTAAGTTTTATTTTAGACTTTTCATTGCATTGACGAAGTTCTTCGATTTTTCGGGTATTGTAAATGTGAATACGATGCTATAAGGATAAAATCTAGTATGAGGAAAATAGTAAATAAATTGAATATTTTGCATGTCCATAACTTATTTGTGCACACAGGAGTCAGTAGCAACCTCAAGTTTCCGTTGGAATTTTAGGTTGAGGTTGACATTCAGTTGAACGAATGGATATAGTTTTTGGATGAATTTCCTGTTGATGTTTCAGAATATCGATAATCTTAAAACTTGGCCATGCTTACTATACAGTGGGTAGTCATGAGACAAACAAGTCTGTGTAGAATCAGTTTATCACACTACAAAATGTTGCAATTACTAAACTAACCACAAAATTATCTGTAATTAGTCCTACTTCGGAGGATACGATACGGGACCTTCAATAATTCGCCATTGTTTTTATAAATAAGGAAATCGCAGAGGTAATTTGCACAGTGGTTTTGAGGAAAAGTGCAATTGTATTGAACATTAGGATAAAATATGATTTAATTCATGAGTTGATTTTATTGGATGGTTAGACAGTGGTAGATACGAGGGTATATAATTATTATATAAAAAATGACGGGAATAATGAACCGTCCTTGGAAACGGAGCGCCACCTTAGATTTAGAATGTCTCCACGTAATAGGAACTGGTAGTTTTGGCAGAGTTTACAAAGCTAGACAAACTCTGCTCGGAAATATTGAATTTTACTACGCCGTAAAACAAATATTTGTTTATAAGACGTTACAACATTTTGAGTGGGAACCCTGTGAAAATGTTACGCGAGGTGATACTTTTGCAGGAAATTAACCATACGAATGTCGTCCGGTATTATTCGTTTTGGTTGAATGGTTGCTTAAGTTGGAAGGGAGATGCAAATCTGTACAGTTGTGCGGACAGCGAGTTTCTCTATATTGTGATGGAATTGTGTGATTTTTCGTTGAAAAAGTGGTTAGCGGATAATGTGGAGTTTAAATCTCGTGAAGTGTTTATTCCAGGAATTATGCTGAATACGTTAAGTGGGTTGGGTTATCTGCACGAGAGGTCAATCATCCATAGAGACTTGAAACCGGATAATATACTGGGGAGGGAGGTTAATGGGAGGTTGGAGTGGAAGATTGGAGATCTTGGTCTTGCCAGGAAACATGGGCAGGGAGACGAGCAAAGTGAGATGGTGGGCTGTTTGGAGTATAGAAGTCCGGAGAATGAGAATTCGAAAATGGCGGACGTTTACGCGTTAGGGAAAACGTTTTTAAATTTGTTTCCGAAGGATGTACTGAATTTGGGGAGAACGGCAGAATGTGCCGTTTTATGTCAGATAGATAAAAGTAGATTCCAATATGATAAAGTTGTAGGACTTGTTAAAAAAATGTGTGATAATAATAAAGATTTAAGGCCTTTAGTCAAAGAAGTGAAGTTGGAGATGAAATTAATTTTGGCAAAGCAGCAAAATGCGGATAAGGTGACAATATGTTCGGAAGTCGATGAGGAAGGTACTGGTTTTGATATGAGTGTAGTAGTGTTTTTATACATGTTAAATGTATGTATGTATGTATTTATTGATATATGGCCTGCAGCCCTCATCAACATGTCACAGAGTTTACATAATGCAGTAATTAAATTCATTCATAGTAATAAGTCGTATTCATAGTAATAAGTCGTAGTAATTAAAAACATCAATCCAAAAGCAAAATAATGATTTAAAAAAGTTTCGATTTGTCCTGTTATCATTATACATTTCAGAAAGGGAGGGAAAATCTTTAGCATATACATACAAATATTTTTCTCTACTGGGAGTGAGGATTCTACATTTTAGTGTGAGGTGATCAACGGTGGCGTCAGATCCAGATGTACAAAATGGACAGCAAGTGTTAGTTGTTACTTTTCTATCACCAAGTTTTATAGAGTACAGTCCTATTCGTAGTTGCGAGATAATGCTGCAGATTGCAAAAGGAAGATTCATTGTTAAATATGGTTCTGTGATGGCATGTGACTTCATGGCTGCATATTGCGCCATTCGACTAGAATTGATTAATCTGGAAGAGTCTTCATTAATTGATTTGGCGAAAGATTGGCTGACTATTTTTGAGAAATGTTCTGTAATGCGTTCCGAAAGCACATCAGCGTGTTCATCAAAGTGTCCCATATCTGTTCCTTCTAAGAGGGATTCAACCTTGCGTATCCAATTGAATTTGTGATTGTTGCCTTCTCTCCTTGCCCACTTTATCTGCCATCGTATACATTGGCCAAGGATTGATTTCTCTTCTCGCATTAGTAGTTTCTTGATGAATGTCAACGTCTGTTTAATCAAGAGTTTTATAAATGTTAAATAGTAATTAAGAATTTTTCCGGTTTTAAAAAATATAGGCACAAAGAGACCATGCCACAGTTATCCTGTGACAATCTGCTTGTCGTACATTGTTCTCATACTGGCGACGATTTTGTCAGTATTGGTTTTCCAAACGTATTGGTGGCGTGTTACCGTCGAGAAGACAAATCCTCCATGCCAGTTCGAGAATGAAAATAAAAAACTGAGGACTAAATATGAGCGCGGTTTACGAAAATATTCAATCAACTCGACCACCGGGGATGTCCTCGTTGCTGAGACAGGAAGCATATATTTCGTATCAAATTATACCTATGCCACATCACATACTTGGACAATTAGGGCAAATAGTTTTGAGTTTGTGTGGATTAAATTACTGAGGAATGAGTTACCAATTACGGCGAAATTAACGGTGACCCCTGTCATGACGCTGCTGCAAATTAACGAGAGGAATGGTACAAACGCCGACCTCAACGAGGCAAGGCAACTAATGTACGTGAACTATATATTTGGATTATTTATGGTATTAGTTTTAATTTTGAGCCACCCACGCAATAACTACTGCCAGAGGTGATGGATTTTATTATTACCTTTTGGTTACCAAGGGCGTCACCGAGTGCTGATAGATAACAAGGGCTACACTGGTAGAATAATATGTAATCAATGATTGGTGGTAATATTTCGTACGGTTACTTTCAGAAGCACAAATAGTGATCAGAAATACGTTTTCCACGGACCAATCCTACTCTTGACGTTGGAATTGAAAGCAAGAAAAATAAATGAGGAAACCAAGCCATACTTTTTCCTAAAATTTGGAGGATTTGGAAACGAGTCGAGATATTTAAACAGAATTTTCTCCCATTATAATTACATCGCACCGAGTGGGCATATTAATTACCCAGGGAACGAGAAGAACTACAGAAATAATGAGATAGCGACATTTGTGATAAATCCGGTACAAACAATTACTATGCCTGGGTTCCTCTATGCCGCCAACATGGAGAAAAACAACGCTTGTGGGGACAGTTTGACAGTATTTAGAGTTATACCAGAAAAAATTAGTAGATACGGGCATCTCAGATATAATTACAGGTAAGTTTTGCATACATGATTATTCAGACAAAATAGAAATTGGATAATTATTTATTAGGATTTGCAAGATTGTGGAAAACTCACAGGCGAAGTATGAATGGGAGCGATTGTTCTTGGTTTTCGTTAGTAATGAAGATATAACGGGGAAAGGGTTCAGATTCGGGTGGTGATGGAGATGTGGATTTTTTATTGCTGTGGGAAATAATTATTTGAAAATCGGTTTATAAAATGGGTACAGTTGGTAGATTTAAAATGTTGAACAATTGTAAGTATTTGTAATTTTGTCATATTTGCCTGAAAGGGACGAAATTGAATTAGTAATAAAATCTGAGATACTTATTTAAGAAAATTCTGATTCATATTAGTTTTCGTTAAGGACTATTAGCAAAACAACTTATTTAGCAGAAATAAATTTGGTGTGGAGAACCATTGTTCGTTACGTGGCTGCATCTCTACTTTGCAACTTGGAGACCAGAAATAATTTTGGTAAAATGTTAGATTTTGAAAAAAATAAGAATTATTTTTACAATGTAAATGGGGGAAGGGTGGTTTAATTTTTTGGCTGCAGTAGTAACTGGATGAATCTCTCCCTACGGGAACTGGAAAATCTCCTCTTAATTATTTATAAATATTTATATTTATCCTTAATATTTTTTTCAGCCACGAAATCTAGAAGAGTTGTTATTCTACATTAAATGCAGCAAAATTAAGTAATTTTTTATGGGAATGATGTAAAAATAAGATAAATTATTACCGCAAGGAATTAAATATGATTTAATGAGTTTTAAATTGTTACAAAATGGATTAGTTAGAATTGATAATTATTGCCATTGACAAATTTATTGATGAAATTTTAATAATCAGTGAATTTAATTTGGAAATATGTAATTAACCTTGGAAATCTGTTGACTCAGCATCTCGTGCAGCTGGGCAAACAATATTAAAATTAAGTTAAGGAATTTTAGAGGAAAAATTAGTAAAAAGGGCAATAATTTATTTATTAGGTTCTATTTATTGATAATTTAGTGTATTCTGGGAAAAAGTAATTTGCGGTGAAGTGTTTTAAAGTTTTAATATAAATGGGAAGCTATTACCCAATTAATTTTACACTTGTATCAAAATCCTTGTCCTTATTGACGGAAATATTTGGATAGGTTCGTTAAAGATGACGAAATCGAAAATAATTATCTCAATCTGTTTGCTATTTGTAGTGCTCGTGACTAACGTAAAATTGCAAGGTATGCAAAATTAAATAAATAATAAAATTATATTTATAGAAAATAGTTGAAAGATAATTTGGGTTCGCGTGTGTAGAAGTTAATCTCTGGGAACATTCAAATTTTGAAGGTATGGACGAACAGATTTCTGCAAACATTTATCGTGTTATTTGTATGCACAACTAAAAACATTTTAGGGCGCATGGTGACATTCAGACTGGACGGGGGACGATGCAGGAACGTTTTGGACCTTGATTTTAACGACAAGACGTCCTCCGTCAGGACCAGTGCGTATATCCGCCTCTGGGAAGATGCAGACTGCAAGGGGGACCGGTATCAACTTGACAGAGCCGGGGCGGCTAATTTAGGCGGATTTAATGACAAGTTGACATCTGTGAGCGATTGTAAACTTGGCGGTTAGTTGAGAAGTTGGGAGATTTTTTGAACTTTATGGCGGTTTCTGTGTAATTTTTTAAATTATTAATTAATTATCAGAAACCGTTGAAATTGGTTGAAATTGAGGGGTAACATAGAATAAAATAATTTTCAGGGTAACCAATATTTCTAGATACGGGGGTAACTATCGAAATTTAGCGAACATATGTTGGCAAAGTTTAAATAAACAATTCATAATGAGAAAATAAGTTATGGGAAATCACATTTTTTAATTTCTGACAATATTGGTATTAAGAAATTGGTTTTAAAATTGTTGTTATATTTTGAAAATATCATATATCCTGTAAACTGCGCATGCCAGAGGTATTCGCTATATAGGAAATTTGTATTACAAATAAATTAGTAGGCAAATCTTGGCCGATCATATTAGGTAAGAAGTAAAAATATATTCGGCTAATAAACAATTCTTGGAAAGCGGTCTCACCATTCATTAAATTCTATTCATAAATACAGAGCTGTCCTGTCCTGCTTGACTTGTAAGTAATCGTATAAATCGTATTCTGAGAAAATTCATAATAAGTAAATATTTTGTTTACGAGGATAAGCTTGTTGATGATATCACTCCAGTTGCGGATGTAGTGATCCTCGGCTATGGACAGTTGGCTAAAATTAACGTAAGCAAGATGTTTACATGTTTTCTGAGAATGGAGATACGATTAATTTTGCAAGACAAGTACACAGTCCAAGGTGACGGAAAAGAAGTATCCAAAGGCGAGGATTTCTATTTAGTTGAGCTACAGAAGTGGGAGGATTATTGTGAACATCACTTTCATAGTTTTTTATCAATTGGAAAAATGGTATCTGAAAAAATTAGACGGTTTCGGGTCTTGGTGTGGACCATGGTTTTGGTGCTTGGGAGCCGATTGCCGATTACAAGTTGTGATTATCTTGATGATTTTTGGTCAAGTGAAGAAGTTACGACAGGTAAGAATTAGGCCGTGATGCTATATGTATGTTGGTGGTGAATAAATATATTTACAAATGATATCTATGTAGCTGGAAGCACGCACATTCGGTGGACCGGATCGCTAAGTCGTTTAAATGAAGGTAATTATCTATGAAGAACAGTTTTAATTGTTTTTTTTTTGCTTGTTATTTTGGGATTTTTTCCGGCTTATCAGGTTTTGTTTCAAAAATTAAAAAAAAATTTGTCTTAGCTGAGGCTAATTTTTTATCTTATTCAGAATGTATGAAGGTATTTAAGTTCAAGAAATATATTTTTAAATATCACCTTTGTTAAGGGTGCTAGTTAATCATTTAATGTTGAACAAGGTAAATCGAAAATTTTAGGAAGCGCTCATTTTTTATCATAATTTCTTAATATCTTATTAAGTTTAATATCTTATTTTGGTATAGTGTTGGACCGTATTTTGACAAGTACTCCTCGACCCCCTTATTACTACCATCCTGAAACTAGAGCGGATCCCCCTATCCGCACGCCGTATAGGTTGACTTCTGAACGGCTCGGAACGATAAGGTCCGAACTGCTGTATCCAATCCAAACTACAGAAGAATTCTATCTGAGTGATAGTTTTCTGGGAAAGCTAGACAATAATGGGAGAAATTTTGCCCTCGGAATATTAATTTTGGACTTGCCGTTTTTTGGAAAGAAATATAATCAGATTTTTGAAGTAAGATTTGGCGTAAAATTGGCACGGTTAAATATTTAAATAAGCGGGTATTCGAGGGAATGGCTCGTAAGGGACATGCCGATGTGTGCAGCTCCTAAACCTATTTTTTAGGCCGTCGTTTTCGTAAAATTGCGTAAGAATTTTGTGAAGAACCGAATTTTTGACATTTATTGATATAGAGAAAACTCCAAAATTAGTCAATATTTTAGGATTTTTAAAAGTAAAAAATAACATAAAAAAAATTTTGATAAAAGTTGGCAGGGTAAAAAGTAAATCAGCAAAACCTAAGTTTTGCAATTTTCGGGTGAATTTTTGCAAGAAAAGATTTACAACTGGCGTGAACTTAAGAATTTTAAGGGGTTACGAAATATACGAGAATATAACATGCGAATATATAGGTGTCGCTTCATGGCCATGTAGCATTGAGCTATGGCAAATATTCAGCAACGTATCCGTTCGTGTTTCCAAATCCTGGTTATCCAAAAGAATTCGACGCATCGATTATTGCACCGCTGTATTCGGAATTCAAAATTAGAGCGGAGCCGTCAGATGGGGATAAGACAGCAGGCGTATATTTGCAGTAGGTTCAGTCTTTAATTTAGCAAATTAAATTAAGAATGAAGGATAAATAAGTAAAGACAGGTTGGGTCCGTTTTTGACAGGGTGGAAAGACACTTAGGAAGTAGGACTGATGAGATAGGCGTGGAATTGCGGGAGCGTTCAAAATGGGACGTGCGAGACGGAATTGTAGGGGCAGAATCGTTCCAACCGGAACACGTGATAGTGGCAACGTGGAGAAATGTTTGTTTTGCGGGAGATCCCAATTCAGGAAATGACACCGTTAGTGACATATAAATAATGAACTAATTCGATAATTAATCATTGGGGGGAATCAAGATTATAGAAAATTAAAGTGTATCCAAATACTTGCAGACGACGACATTCCAAGCAGTGATAGTGACGGATGAAACAAGGACTTATGTGATCTACAATTATGAACATATCGGGACTACGTCACATCACATGAACGACGGCGGGAAGATAGCTTTTGTAGCGGCTAGTTCAAATAATTATTTTTTTAAATGTGAAATATCAAAGGTTTAATTTAATTCAGGTTGGATTCAATGCGGGAAATGGATCTGAAGCGTTCGAATATGTAAAATCAGAGAGCATCCGGAAACTTTTAACCTCCGGGAATGTTAATGGATTTCCGGGTCGTCATATTTTTAGGGTGGACGAAGCCATTTTGTCTGGCCAGTGTGGTTAGTGATGAGGTACTAATAGTTCATAATTTGGTATTTGAAGGGTGATTTTTTTAGCGGGGAATGACACCGACAAAGGAAGACTAATTGTTGCCCCGGAGAGCGGGAATATGCTTGGGGGAACAATTGTGAACGTGACAGGGCCGTGTTTCAACTCATCGCGAGAGTATTACTGCAGGTATTAAAGTTCTTTTCAAAGTATGGAATAGGAAGGTATGGAATAATTAGTGAGAAAAATGAACCAGGTTCCAGAACACAAAAGTAAAAGCTGTCGTCATGAATGGGAACCGGGCAAGCTGTGTGATGCCACAAATTTTGGCAGCTGGGTATATTAACATTTCGGTTGGCGCGGAACGGAATGAAACCGCGGACGCGGAATGGCGGACAAAGTTTTTTGTAGAGTCGCCAACACGATCCCCTGAACTGGTGCGGTTTCCGAATATTGATATCAGGAGTAGGAAACTGTCCACTATTACTTGGGACTATAAGAACCTGACTGTAAACAAGGACACACTGGTAACCTTGGAAGCCTGGGAATACAGGGACAATTTGAATTTTAGTGGGCCAGAAATTGTTTTTGTAGGCGCGTTAGCGGTGAGTTTGAAGTTATGTATGTTTGTTTTCGATGGGATTAATGGAATTGGGTGGTTTTTTTAAAGGAAGCGATTCTGAACAGTGGCAGACACGAAATAGGGAACACTTCAAAATTAAAGAGATCGGAAGAAGAATTCTTTGACAGTAAAAGAGTAGCTTTAGCATCGGTTAGATTTGCAAATGTATCTGCAGGAGAATTAAATCCGTGAGTTTTAAAAATAATTAGTGATGGCGGTGGTCCTTTTTATGGGGAATATTGGACACAGAATTTTATGGAGTTGTCCCGTCCCGTTGGTTCTATTTTATGGAAATACGGGAATTAATAATGTAACGTGCCAAGGATGGCTAGCGAGGGAAAGGCATCGTCCAAACTTTACGGCTCAGGTAAGAAATTATATTTTCTGATTTAGCGGAGGATATGAATTTTGCGTAAAAAATCCATAAATTGTTAACCTAAATGGGAAATTATGTAATTACTACTTTGCAGCTTCCAAAATGTCCTTGTACCTTGACACAAGCAGTCAGTGACGTTGGGCGGTTCATTCCTGATCCTGAATGCGATAAGGATGGGAAGTTTTCTAACTGTGAGCTTAACCAGAATGCGAAACATTGTGTCCAATCGGCAATTCCAACGTAGGTCGAACACATTTTGTGTATCGCAATCGTGCTTGTGAAATGAAGTTGTATTAAGAATAAAGTTTTTTGTAGTGAGTCTGGTGCAGGCCAACAATGCTGTTACGACATATTCGGTGATCTTATGTTGAGCTATGACAATGTTTGGAGTGGAAAACCACGCCGGTCGCATGCTGCCGGGGCACAGCCGTTCAATGAAATATACAAGGTTTTGTAATGGTTAAATAGTGGAACGTTCCTAATTGGGGTTTAAATAATTGTTGCATTCAGGTCCCCTCCTTGTCGCACTATTTGAACGATATCGCTCCATTTTATTCTTGTTGCGTCTGGAACTCAGAAACGAGTCCGGGTTGCTATGCTTTCCGTGAGGAAGTGCGAGTTTCTCAGAATTGTGTGGGCTACGATCCGCCCGGATTGTGTAAGGGAAATAGAGTTTAGGTCTGACTTGTTTCAAAAATTGAAATTCGCGGTAATTATTTAGCCACAGTCTTTGGTAGCCTTCATTTCTACACGTTTGACGGAGTTGCGTTCACCTTTAATCCAAAGGGGGAGTTTGTTCTGCTAGCGTGAACTCGAGCCTATTAGAGATTCAGGGACGATTTGAACAGCTACCGCCTAGAGAGGGTGGAACGTCGGTGAATTCAACGAAACTAACCGTACTTGCCGCTAGGGAAGGAAACTCCGCCACGGTGGAAGTCCGACTTCGTCCTGTGGAAGCGAGATGGCGCTACAAGTTGGATGTTCTGGTAGATGGGGAAAATGTGTTTTTTGACCGATTGCCTCAAAAAGTGCAACACTTTCCAGGTAATTTGATAAATTTCTGAATAGTTCAGCAGGAAAAATTCTTACAGTTGTAAAATAAAAGGTTTGACCGTGCACACGCCGACCTACGTGCTAAATCAGTCGACGGTGATTGTCATGTTCAAATCTGGCACTGGTGTGGAGGTTATAGAAAATAAGGGTCACACTGCGGCTAGAATCTACCTACCAACGAGTTTTAAAGTGAGTTTAAATTATTTATATTTTGCAAATTGAAATTGATTAACGCCTGCTGACTTTGCAGAACACGACTACTGGTCTTTTCGGAAGATGGGATAACGTGTGGCAAGGCGAGTTCCCACTTCCTGACGGGACAGAGGTCGCTTCAGAGATGATCTATGATTTAAAAGGATTTTACCATAATTTTGGGAAACACTGTAAGTGGTTTTTGGATTGTAATTCATACTTGGGAATTAGATAATGAATATTCGTATTTTATTCTCTCTGTAGGGAAAGTTCAGGAGAATGAGTCATTATTTTCGTATCCGCCAAGGAGATCAAGCTTGGATTACAGTGATCCCAACTTTGTCCCAGTTTCAAGTCTTGAAGTCTCCAAAATCCTCTCTGACCAGGGGTAGGTGGATTAATTAAGTTTTTTGTAGTAAAATGTATTAATTTTGTGGTACTACGTATAGGGTTCACCCAAACTTGACGTATACGATGGTGGACGATTTTTGTGGGGATTCGTACCAATGCAAGTTTGACTACGCGATCACGGGGGATAAATGGGCTGCCCATTTTACAAAAGCGTACCAATGGCAGTACAACAATGTCAGGAATAACGCACTAAAACCAGGTTTGTTTTGCTAATTGATTAGTGAGGTGTGGTTGGGGTTATAGAGATAATTTTATAAATAATTTCTGGTAAAAGTGGTGTCCTGCGGATGGTTACCGACACCGCGGAATGGGGACAAGAGCACGTTCCGCTTCACGCCTGGGACGATGGTGGAGTTTGAGTGTGACTGGGGGTACTATCTTTTGGGGTCCACGCGACGGTACTGTTCTTCCGGGGGGGAGTGGACTTATCCTAAATACAATGAGTGGGGGCGTGCTTTCAACAAAAGTGAAGGAATGACTAGATGCGTTAGTTAGTGATGAAATGGGGGAAGATAGAATAATATTTGGAATATAAATGTGTAACGAAATTGAGAATAATAAAGTTTGAAGGGCTAAATCTAGATCGATATTAGATTTATTTATGTTAATTATGTAATTGTTCACATGTTGCATTCCTGTAGTACATTGCAACTGACTGCATCCTAAAAGTAAAAGTAAAAAGTAATCCTAATAGTGGATTTTGGTATAAATTAAATAAATGAGTTTTCGTAAGTCATATTTTTTGTAGTAGCACATAAAATATGTAAGTAGTTCAGAAATAGGTGTTAAAATTGTATTTATTTTTGAGATTTGAGATTTAAATGATTATTTAGTTTTATGCTACGCAGATCGACAAGTTGAGATATAGATTAGTTAAAATTCAGCCATGCTGGAAAAATTGGAGTTTGGGACATCAATCACTTTGACTGTGACGAGTCATCTATGTAATTTGGCCGGAATTGGGGGATTAATGATATTAACCTTATCCATTTCATTACAATGGAATGACGCAAGTTCTGGTCGCCAAGGTGGCGTCGCATAAAGAGACAAGTGAGATATGAATGCATTTTATTATGTAGAAGATTCGTATAATGGTGTATGCCAAAAAATATTTATGTTCGTAAGGATGCGGTAGATATTGGTTGAAATATATGGCGGGAGTGTCACTCTGAGAAGAGGAGAGGTGTGGTAGGAGGAGGACAAAGGAGGCGAAGTAAAGAATGGACGGATTCATATTTTATTTTTATTTGGTTTTATAAGGAAAGGAGAGGTTGGAACGGTGGAGTAATTGAAAATGGTGAGTTTGTCGGATAATTTTCTGTATTTATGTATGCGATAGAGAAAGAAATGGTGGACTGTGGAGTGCAATTTTTGCACACGGATGATGAAGTTAGGAGAGATAAAGGGTTGGATAAAAAAAGTAATCTTTTAGACATTGATTTATTGGTTTGGGCATCCGGTGGTGATATGTATGCGAGGCAGGCAAAGTTCAGGTGGAGGGATTAAATACGCATCGGAAAAGAACCAAAGTGGGAATGCTAATTGGGATTATGTAAGTGCGAATAGGTATGTAAAATGTGATGTAAATATGCAGTGGTGATTCAATCAGAATCATTTAGTTGATATAATTATCGTTGATGTCATGGGAATAGTTGAGTCTTATGTGAGATCTTGTTAATTTGCAGATGATTTCTATTGCGGATAATAGGTACCAAGTGATATCTCTGTTCGTGGGTGGCCTGCCAAAATACTTTAGTTAAAGTTATCTACTTAAAACAAATTTAATTGAAGACTAATGTAGTTAATATGTATAAAACCTCCAGTGTGCAGTGTCCAGATAGCCCGAGTCAGGCTTATTGTCCGAAATACTAAATTTCAGGTTTCTATAATAATTTCTGAAAACCGGTGGGGGTCACCCTATAGTGTATCTCCGAGTTAAATTTTTCCAAATTCTACTTAATATGCTTTCATTAGTAGCCATCATGGACCTCTGTGCCAAATTTAAAGTTTCTAGGAAATAATTTCTAAATCGGTGGGGGGTCACCCCATAGGGTACCTCCGGGTAAAAATTTTCCTAATTTTAGTTCGTATTATTTCATTAGAAGCATCAAAATATCCACGTATGTATATGTATGTATGTTTTTGTCTTTTGCTAGTAAAACGAATGCCAACGTCATAATAGCCAATTCTTTCAAAGGATTGACCAACACGCGGAAGCAATGTGCAAAAATACCACAATTACTGATACAGAACTTTCAAGTCCATCACTCAATAAAAAGTGTATAAATTCAGATAAAATGAATAATACAATAAGCTGCCGGAAAACCTATAACTCATAGGTGACTGTAATTGCAAAATATACAGATTAGAATCATGGAACAGTTATCATTGATCTTTATTGCACCGATAATATAGGCATATACATTTACTCTGCTTCTAAAATATTTCACTTAGTCTGTTCTTATCCTCACTGTAGCTCCGAATGAACCAGGCAACATTTGGAGAGAGATTTTTGCGTTTAGCCTATAAAACAGCAATTCGATTATTATCAAAGGAAGCGAAACTTTTCCCTAGAAAGTACAAAAAATTAAGAAGTAGTAAAAACTTTAAAAGAAAACAACTTCTGGAAGGAAACTGCACAAAATATGGATAAAAAATCTAGCAAGAAGAAGACTCAAAGTCAGGGACAAGAGAAAGTAGCAGTTTCAGAAGTATCAACTCCAAACATCCCTACGGAAGTAAAGGAAGCGTTAGTGGAACAATTTAGGAAAATGTCCTTTGAAGGAGGAGGTGAGCAAATGAGCTATATATTTTAAGTCATTATTAAATTGCATAGTCAAATTGAGAAATAAATCTAAGAAAATTTATCACGTACATAAACATATATGTATATACTATAGTAGGATTTTTTAAATTACAGCCAATTCTTAGTAAAAGGTTAGGTGGCCGACCTTGCCATGCTTAATAACATTGAAATTTCAAATATGAAATACTTTTTTATTTTCCAACCGATTTTCAATATTTAAAATGTTTTATAATCCCCCCACACCTTGGCAAATTACGTATTGTCAGATTTTTAAATTTCAACCACACCCACTTATAATAAAGGTCACAAGGTCAGAAAAATTACCATTCTTCTCAACAAATTAAAAATATGGCATTTTAACATTTGTCTTCAGATAAGCCTAATTCTTATCAATGAGTATTTAGGTCATCATCCTCCGTCAATTTGTAAGCAAAACCCTCGTTCAGGTCATTGTGGGGGTGGTCAGTGGGAGTGGCAAATATTAAATTATAAAATATAAGTATACCACATCATTCATTCTGGATTTAAACTCAACTGCTACGTCATATTGAGCTGTGTGTCGTCTGCCGACAACCTAAAATCCAATAGAAGCTAAATGTTTGAGACATTATGTCCATAATTACTTCAATCTTGCTCCTTGTATTGCTGCCACGAGAGGCAAGTGCTGAAACACAAATGTTTTCCAGATCTGCTGTAATTGACATTCGGAAGAACATTTTCTAGATTAAGGCATACTTGCAATTGCAAATGAAGCAACTATTTACTAAAAATTTAGTGTTACACAAAAACGTGCAACAGACACATTTTAAGGCTTTATTCTGCCTTGAAATTTTGCAGACGTATGACATCTCTGATGTAATTACCGTCATAAATTCCAATAGAAGCTACATGTTTGAGACATTTTGTCCATAATTACTTCAATCTTGCTCCTTGTATTGCTGCCACAAGAGGCAAGTGCTGAAACACAAATGATTCCCAGATCTGCTGTAATTGACATTCGGAAGAACATTTTCTAGATTAAGGCATACTTGCAATTGCAAATTAAGCAACTATTTACTAAAAATTTAGTGTTACACAAAAATGTGCAACAGACACATTTTAAGGCTTTATTCTGCCATGAAATTTTGCAGCCGTATGACATCTCTGATGTAATTACCGTCATAAATTCCAATAGAAGCTACATGTTTGAGACATTTTGTCCATAATTACTTCAATCTTGCTCCTTGTATTGCTGCCACAAGAGGCAAGTGCTGAAACACAAATGATTCCCAGATCTGCTGTAATTGACATTCGGAAGAACATTTTCTAGATTAAGGCATACTTGCAATTGCAAATGAAGCAACTATTTACTAAAAATTTAGTGTTACACAAAAACGTGCAACAGACACATTTTAAGGCTTTATTCTGCCTTGAAATTTTGCAGACGTATGACATCTCTGATGTAATTACCGTCATAAATTCCAATAGAAGCTACATGTTTGAGACATTTTGTCCATAATTACTTCAATCTTGCTCCTTGTATTGCTGCCACGAGAGGCAAGTGCTGAAACACAAATGATTTCCAGATCTGCTGTAATTGACATTCGGAAGAACATTTTCTAGATTAAGGCATACTTGCAATTGCAAATTAAGCAACTATTTACTAAAAATTTAGTGTTACACAAAAATGTGCAACAGACACATTTTAAGGCTTTATTCTGCCATGAAATTTTGCAGCCGTATGACATCTCTGATGTAATTACCGTCATAAATTCCAATAGAAGCTACATGTTTGAGACATTTTGTCCATAATTACTTCAATCTTGCTCCTTGTATTGCTGCCACAAGAGGCAAGTGCTGAAACACAAATGATTCCCAGATCTGCTGTAATTGACATTCGGAAGAACATTTTCTAGATTAAGGCATACTTGCAATTGCAAATGAAGCAACTATTTACTAAAAATTTAGTGTTACACAAAAACGTGCAACAGACACATTTTAAGGCTTTATTCTGCCTTGAAATTTTGCAGACGTATGACATCTCTGATGTAATTACCGTCATAAATTCCAATAGAAGCTACATGTTTGAGACATTTTGTCCATAATTACTTCAATCTTGCTCCTTGTATTGCTGCCACAAGAGGCAAGTGCTGAAACACAAATGTTTTCCAGATCTGCTGTAATTGACATTCGGAAGAACATTTTCTAGATTAAGGCATACTTGCAATTGCAAATGAAGCAACTATTTACTAAAAATTTAGTGTTACACAAAAATGTGCAACAGATACATTTTAAGGCTTTATTCTGCCATGAAATTTTGCAGCCGTATGACATCTCTGATGTAATTACCGTCATAAAGTCCAATAGAAGCTACATGTTTGAGACATTTTGTCCATAATTACTTCAATCTTGCTCCTTGTATTGCTGCCACAAGAGGCAAGTGCTGAAACACAAATGATTCCCAGATCTGCTGTAATTGACATTCGGAAGAACATTTTCTAGATTAAGGCACACTTGCAATTGCAAATGAAGCAACTACAGAATATTTACTAAAAATTTAGTGTTACACAAAAATGTAATTACCGCGCCATCTGGAGCTTGCTCTGCGATTTCTGATATGTCGATTTCTATGTCGATTGATACAGGGTCGAAATTTAAGACTCTTGGAGGGGGGACCGCTAAATTTATCTTGTCTGATATGACAAATTTACTTCCTTCTGTTCTATGGATGATTTTATCTCTTGCTCTGATAGCCTTTCGTGTGTCTCTGTCACTAATGCGTCCTTGTATGGGAGTGG